GCTCCGGAGACTGCTAATTGGAGCCGTATCTAAGGCTCTGTTCCTTCCCCTCAGACAAAGCGAAGAAAGTGACGTCCTGTCTCCTTTCAGAGCACCTGGCTCCACCTCCCCTGCCTGTTAGCCCGCAAGGGCCCCCGAGGGCAGAGCATCAGACAGGGCAGGAGGGCGGCTGCCCACAGGAGCAGTACCCATGGGTGGTCAGGACGTGGGCCCCTGGTGGCTGGAGGCTGTGACTGGACGTTCACAAAGTCCAAGAGGCCTTTGCATTTACTTCCCAAAGCCCAACTTTTCCACAAGGCACCTGTGAAAATTAGCTCACCTATATGAAACCAGACTGGCCTGAAAGAACTGGTGATAAGCGAATAGAGCATTTTACAACTTAAGAGGAGGAACCACTGCACCACCACATGTTTGAAGTGTGAAGGAAGACAGAACCCTGAACCATGGTGGGTGAATACACAGACGTGTGGAAGAGGCGAGCTGTCTGCGCACATGCGGGGCCCCAGGCGAGTCCTGGTGTGAGACGGGCTGGGCTGTCCCGGGAACAAAGGCCTCAAGCCTCCTGGTGTGGCCATCGAGGACTCCACCTGCCTCTGCCGTGAGCCACAGGGAGGCAGGTGGCGAAGCAAGCCCTTGGCTCTGTTGGAACCGCGATCATCTTAGGATGAGACGGGACACTGCCTGCTTGTGGAGAGTGCAAACCCAAGCTTCCTGAGAGGCTGGCCAGGGCTTTTGCTGCTTTGCAGCAGGAATGCCTGCGTGTGAGTGTGTGTGTGTTGTGGCTCTGTTCTGATTCCGGCCCCGGCACAGCTCACTGTGGACAAGTGAGACCCCGGGCCAGCACTGCCCAGCAGCTGGGGAGCGAGGGGCAGAACTACACACAGGAAAGTGCGTGTTCCAGTAATACCAAAAGCAATAAGCAAATGAGGTCAGCGTTACTGCAGTCATCAGATTTAAAGTATATTGACAGGTAACCTATATGCAGTGATGTGTGAGTCATTTGTGTTCTGTTTCCCAAACTGTGGTGATATCTGATGTGTGTCTTACTGAAAAATAGCGCATCTCCAATTAAATCGGCCGCACTGAAGTGCTGCCAGGGTGCTGCAGGACGGCTGCGGGTGGGCGACAGCGAGCAACGCTTTGCTACGTTCTGCAGGATTCTGCTGTTGTCTGCGGACGCGATGACTTTTAAAACAGGAGCTTTAATTGCATTGGAATTGGGGTGGGGAGTTTGAGAACACATGTCAAGAACTTAGATTGTCGAGATTCAAATCCAACTCTGCTACTTACAAACTGAGTAGCTGTGGGCTAGCTCTCCAGCATCTGTGTCTAGCTTTGCTGGGGCCAGTGAACCTCACTTGGCACATAGTCAGTCTCTGTTTTCAGATCACTGTGAATGGTCCCTTTCTCCAGAGCTGAAGGAAAATGAGATGTGGCTGGCGGTACCTGGTCTCTGCTGAGAAGGCTAAAGAAGGGGCCAGTATTTGTTCTGTTAGGGTGGGTGCACTCTACCCCATGAGAGTTTTTGCCACCAGGCCTTGAGTTCAGATACTGCTCTACTTAAACCTCCGCTCTGATGCATTCCAAGTCGGAACTGAGTTGTGGAGATGGCCTGGTTCGCTGAGTTTGTTTCCATGGAGAGGTTGGCACTCCACTTCTGCCTACACAGTGGAGACATCCATGCAGAACTGTTGTGGGAAAGACAGTATAAAATAGCGGCTATAACCAGAGGCTTGGGGCAGGTGTCTGGTGCAGAGGCTAAATTGCCACTTGGTGCACCTGTACCCCACACTGGAGTAACTGGGTGTGAGTCTCAGCTTCCCTTTGGATTCCACCTTCCTGTTACTGTGCACCTTGGGAGGGAGCAGCTGAGGTCTCAATGTGGAAGAGCTAGATGGAGTTCCTGGCTCCGGATTTCAACCTATCTCAGACCTGACGGTGCAGGCATTTGGAGAGTAAAACAAAGGATGCGAGATCCCTCTCCTTCTTTGCTCTCCCTTTCAAATAAATGAAGAGATAACTAAACATAAATCTGAATATGTGTAAACTTACAAGACCAAGTTCCCTAACTCAATGAAAGTTGCAACTTGATTCCTGAGGTCAGTCTTAGGGTGTGTCCATTATCCTCACTCTACAAATGAGAATTCTGTCATTTCACTACCTCCAGTAAACAAAGTATTTATATTTCTTAGGTAGTTTTAAAAAACTAAGATGTGACTGCCCTTTACTAGTTAACAGACCTACGCCGTTTCCTTCTGCGTACCTGTCCAGGTCTTATGTCCCGTGTCTTGCACCAAGAGCCTGGTGATGCTCAAATAACTTAGTGAATTAATTTCAGTGTTTTAGAATCCAACACTGTTTTGATCACAGTTCACGAATTGCATTAGAATTTCTTGAATGTTGTTTTAAGAGATCACAATGGGCCAGTGCAGCGGCTCACTAGGCTAATCCTCCGCCTGCAGCGCTGGCACCCAGGGTTCTAGTCCCGGTCAAGGCGCCGGATTCTGTCCCAGTTGCCCCTCTTCCAGTCCAGCTCTCTGCTATGGCCCGGGAGTGCAGTGGAGGATGGCCCAAGTGCTTGGGCCCTGCACCTGCATGGGAGACCAGGAGAAGCACCTGGCGGCGGCCATTGGAGGGTGAACCAACGGCAAAAGGAAGAACTTTCTCTCTGTCTCTCTCTCTCACTGTCCGCTCTGCCTGTCAAAAAAAAAAAAAAAAATCACAATGTGACCAACAAGGAGCTGAGCAATGACAACTTCAGGTGACACAGACCTGTCCGCACCGGGCGTTCCTGTGTGAGGACAACAGGGTGGGGATGGAACTCAGAGTTGCTTTCACTGCCGTCTGTTCCTCCCGCAGTCCCCTCCCTCCCAGCCCAGGAGATGTTGGGCGCTTGCCCATCTGTGGGGAGCCGTGCAGGTGCGGGAAGCTGAGGCCAGAGGTGAGGCCAGAGGTGCCTGTGTGGCCCCAGCGTCAGTGCACATCAGCCTGATGCGCTGGTGGCACCGTTGGTGCAAGGATCTCCGGCTCTGCCCCGGTGCGAGGCTCAGGCCCGGCCTCTCAGAACCTTAGACCCGCATTCCCAGGGAGCGAGGCTGCTCCCCGTTTACTGCCATTTTCACGTACAGAGTACGATCCCAAGACCAGAAGTTCTCGTAAATGTCTCTGAGGGCCGCTTTGTTTGGCTCATTTATTAGCAATGTGGAAACCTGGTATGTGCATTACTTCTTTTAAAAGTGTACATACAGATCACTTGATTTCGAGTGCTCAAAATGATATCCACTTTCCCGTGAGGGGAATGTCCAGGAGGAATCAGTTCTCTGTCAGAAGAGATGTGTGGACCCAGCACGGAAATACTGGGGGGCCTGGGGCCTGGAGCTCGGCCTGGGAGAGAGCGCAGCCGTAATGTTCGAACGAGCTGGCCTTGAACCTCAGTTAGCCATGTTCTGTGTGGCTTCTCAGGGTTCCTCAGTCTCCCTGAGAGAAAACAGCAGAACACCAACGACTGGGAGGCCTGAGCGAGACAGCGTGAACCACGCGTGGGGCCTGCATGACGCAGTGTGAACCACAAGTGGGGCCTGCATGATACAGCGTGAACCACACATGGGGCCTGCGTGATGCAGCATGAACCACGCGTGGGGCCTGCGTGATGCAGCATGAACCAAGCGTGGGGCCTGCATGACGCAGTGTGAACCACACGTGGGGCCTGCGTGATGCAGCATGAACCACGAGTGGGGCCTGAGAGAGAGTGAACCACGCGTGGGGCCCGCGTGACGCAGTGTGAACCACGCGTTGGGCCTGCGTGATGCAGAGTGAACCACGAGTGGGGCCCATGTGATGCAGAGTGAACCACGCGTGGGGCCCATGTGACACGGTGTGAACCACGTGTGGGGCCTGTGTGATGCAGCGTGAACCATGAAGCTTGAGTTGGGCAGAGTCTGCTGCTGACCACAGCCCCCTTAGGTAGTGACTCGGGGGCTGTTGCTCATATGGCACACTTGGTATGAAGCCTTTGTGTTTTTCATTTGATTTCTGGCTTGGTCCTTACATAGGAATTGCACAGTGGATTTTTACATTTCAAAACAACTTACTTCATTGAACTTAATACATACAGAGGTGTAAATAGGACACATCGGTTCCATTTTCAGACAAGGAGAAGAGCATTTTGGGGACAGGAACACTGCTGGTAGAGTGTTCTGAGAGTGTCAAGGAAGCGTGTGGCCGGGTAGACAGGGGTGTCACCCCCATGTGGACGCAGCGCAGCCAAGCAGAGGAGGAAGTGCAGATGCTACTGGTTCCACGACACGAAACAGAACGAGCAGAACGGAGCATGACCGGCAGGCTAGGGTTTGAAACATCCCTGAACGCTCCTGGCTTCAGGAAGGGGAGACAAGTGCAGGTGGAGGGCGGGCGCATGTGAAGAGCTGAGAGCCAGACTTCGCATTTCTCGTGTCTCCCGCAGGACTGCTGACCTGGCACGATGCGGCCAGTCGTTCGGAGAAGCTGAACCCGCGCAGAGGGCCTGGCGTCCCCTTCTTCAGTCACCCCAGCCTTCCACGGGAGACACGAAAAACTGCCTTCTGGCCCCGTGTTTCTTCCTTGTGCTTTTCCCTCACTGTTCCCACTGGGTGTTGTGCTGATGGAGGAGCTGGCTAGCGAGCTGGCACCGAGGGGCACAGAGCCCGGGGCCTCCTGCCCACGCCAGTGCACAGAGGCCGGGGCCTCCCGCCCACGCCAGTGCTCACACCTGCCAAGGTGCCTGCGTCTTGGGTTCATCCCCGAAGCATCTGCCATTGTGGGTGGTCTTTGTAGACAGGCCAGAGACCAGGGAAGTCGCTCAGCCTTCACGCACCCGACACTGTCCTCTCACTTTGAGTAACAAACAGACCTTTATTTCGAAAGCGCTACACCTGGTAAGACGCACTAGGCGTGGAGCTGCTCCCGGACGGGCACCGCAGGAAAAGGCGGCAGTTCTGCTCACACCGTGTCTCTGTGTGCAGGGCAAGGGACGCCGAGGCTGCGTCTGAGGACAAGGTGCTGGCCGCGCTCCCCTGGACGTCTGTCTGACCCCCAGTGACGTTTGAGGAGTCTCAGAGCGCGGTATGTTAATTCCATGGGAACTTAGAAGCGCACTGGGACCTGAAACAAGCAAAGCCTGGGAGGCAGGGGTGGCGGCTTTCAAACTGGGCCGACTGAGTGGGACGTTCTTTCTGCTCCGGCCTCTTAAGGCTTCAATTTTACGTCACTGACTAATCAGATTCATACATTAATGGGGACTTTTTCTCCATCCGTGCACAGGCGTGAGAATTGGAAGCACTCTAAATATCTCAGGAAGGCACAGCTCGTGCAGAGCACATGCGTGTGGCACGTGTCGTGGGCGTCCTCCACACCCTCTGTGTGACATGGTGCCCTCTGGACCTCAGGCTCCTCCCACCCTGCTCCTACGTGAGCCCGGAGGGCTGGCCCGCCCAGACCACCTCCTCATCAGCCCCAGCCTCTCTGCCCTTCCTAGAGACAAGATGCTCAGGCTGAGGGCAGTGCAGCGCCGGGCAGGAGGCGGCCAGGTGCCAGGGATTTGCCAGTGCAGAGCCAGTCCTGGCGCCATCATTTGCCATTTCCACAGTGGAACATCCTCAACTCAGTCACATCCCTTTTAAAACCTGGAGATGCAACTGTGTTGATATTCAACTCCGTCATGGGGGCCGTTGCCCTGACCGAGGATAGGCTGGGGTGAGGGCAGCTCCCTGGCCCCCTGGTCCCTCCTGCCTGGGGTGAGGAGCCCACGGGTGGCGGCTCTGGGTCCACACCATCTCTTCCTGTTGCAAGTGGGTGGGTTGAGAAATGCTATTCTTATCAATAAGACAAATTTAATTCCCAGCAAGACTGCGAGAAATGAGCCAATCTGTCGGGCCTGATGTTCTCTATTTACTACACAATTAACTTTTAATTGTTCAAAAATGATACTTTTTCGAAGCTTTCTATCTTCACTGTCCCTTACTTTAGGCGCCGACATCGCCAGCGACTTGTCCTCTGAATGAGTCATTTGCCTTAATATTGAATGAACTGTCAGGGAGAGGTTTTGTCCTCCACATAACCAGCACTGCCCACTGTAGAACCGGAATACTCGCGTTAGGGTGGCTGTCATAAGCACTGCCAGTCCTGCGGTCGTGACTACCACCATGAAGATGGCGGTGTAACATTTTCTTCGACAGAACATTTTAAGTTATGCTCGTTGCACTGGACCTCTGTTCTCTGCTCTTTCTAAAATTCTATTCACCGCGTGTCTTTCTGTCTCCGTGCGTGCACTCCTGTGGCCTGGTTGTCTCGAGGTGGGTGGGCGTCCGCTTGCTGGCCACGCCCCCGAGCAGCCCCGAGCGGCCCGGCTGGTTCTGTTGTAGTTCCCCCAGCTGACCTCTCAGCCTTGGCTTCAGGAGCACAGCCCCGGCGCGCCTTCTTGACGGAGGCTCTTGGTTCAAACTCACACTTCCGCTTCCTTGTGACAGCAGCAAGCGCAGTGCCCACTGTGAAAGGGTCACGTGTGGCCCGCGTGTGTGGGAAGCAGGACGATGCGTGAGCAGCCAGGACAGTGGCCCTTATGCTTAGAGCCCAGCCCTGAGGATTCCAGAGGACTCCCCTTCCCCCCACCCCAAGGCCAGTCAGCGTGGTGCGCGTTTCCCGGCACTCAGTGTGCACTGCGGGAGCCCCGGGACGCACACCAGCAGCCCCGAGCAGTGGTGTGTTTATGAATGTTTCCCGCAACGGAGCCCTGCAGCTCACAAGGCAGCCCACTGCTTGCTGCATTGTGTTCGTTTGAAATATTTCATTTTAGAAGAAATGCCAAGTGTCCCTACGTTTGGCCTCAGGGGGTGGGGGGGGTGGAAGGAGGGAGGAAGAGAATGAATGAGTGCGAATACGGATGGACGAGTCTAATCCAGCTCAGGTCAGCAGATGGATCGGGCAGGTCTGCCATACTCAGTGCCCGTTGCTAGTGCTGTGCGTTTGGTTCCACTCGGTGTAGCCCTGTTGCTGTCTGGCAGTACTCTGCAGCCTTCCTCAATAGCTCATCTCGTTCCAGGTGACTGAGCTGGCCCTGCACTAAATATGCTAAACTTCTCTGGAGAGCAAACGTTGGCCTTGATTCTCGACCTCGGGCAGGGCCAGGTGGGAGCCACGCACAACTGGCTAGGAGGAGAGTGTGGGCTGCAGCCACCATCCTCCAAGGGCTGTCCCTGCTCCAACCATGAGCACTGGTGACACCGATCTCCCCGCCTGCTGTGGCTGTGCACATCTGGCATCACAGATCCAGGCTGGAAGCTGGGGCCCTCGTGTGTCTGCAGGTTGGGCTCCCCGTGGGTCAGGCAGCTGGGGCCCCCACGCGTCTGGCCCACAGGGCCCCGTCAGGCTCCAGTCTCCGTCAGCTGGGCAAGGACACAGTGAGCTCCAGGGGGCTTGCACTGCAGAGTGTCCGGAAGGACTTCCCTGTGTGGGGCTCTGGGTGCCTTCCTACGGGGGCTTGTTTGCTGGGGGATTCCCTTCTGCCCTGTCGGTGTCCCTGTGCCACAGGTACCTGCTCACGTCCCCGGCACTTCTGCAGTGTGATCCGGGCTCCCAGGTGGACATGGAGTAGCTGACTTACCCCTCAGGACAAGGCGAGGCAGGAAACTCATCGCACTGTGAAGCAGGGAACACCGAGGCCCCAGCACGGAGCTGGAGTTAAGGGCCCCCCACAGTGTGAGCACCCCCATTACACCAGGGTTTAAATCCCAGCCATTTCTCAGTCACTTGTGTCTTCAAGTTGCCATGGCAACTCCGATTTGCAAAATGGGAAGAGGGAGGACAGCAGTGCGGCTGTGGCCTCTGGCCGCTGTTTCCAGGGTAGATTTCATCCAGTCTGTTCCCCTGTGCACATGGGTAACAGGTACACCTCATGCGTATGGAGACCGGACCTCGTGCTTCCTGTTACAGGCTGCGGGCGGGCTTCGTGTCCACGTAGGTTTTCTCTGAACCTTTCCCGACTGACACTGCCGGCCTCCCCTCTGCCCCCGCGTGTTTCTCATCGGGGTGTCCCACCTGATCCTCTCGCCGCGTCCTTGACTTGACGCTGCTCGGTGGACAGACTTTCCACTTGCTCTTCAGTGTGCAGGCTCTGGCTGGGAGCAGCAGCTGAGGGCGGGCATTGCTGTGCAGCAGGTTAGGCTGCAGCTCAGCTCGGGATGCCCACAGCCCATATGTGGGACCGGCTCCAACCCTGCTGCTCCACTGCCCGTCCAGCTTCCTGTGAATGCACCCCGGGAAGCGCCAAGTGCTCGGCTCCGGCCACCACATCAGAGGCCGGGATGGAGTTCTGGGCTCCTGACCTTAGCCTGGCCCAACCCTGGCTGTTGTAGATATTTGGGGAGTAAAACAGCAGGTGGGAGATTCTCTCTCTCTCAGTCTCTATCTCCGTCTATCTGCCTTCTAAGTGAATGAAAATAAACATTTTTAAAAACAAAGCAAATGAAAGAAAACAATGTCCAGTGTCCACCTATCTGAATGTAAAAGTTAAAAAAATTGTAAAATTGAATGGTAGAAAGAAAATACAGTGAAGACTTTTACTTGGCTGGACACTGAGAAGCTGATGAAATTGGAGATAAAACTGAGCCAAGGGGATGGCACTGTGGCACGACTGGTTAAGCTCCCACCTGCAGTGCTGGCCTCCCATATTGGTGCCAGCTCGTGTCCCGGCTGCTCCACTTCTCATCCAGCTCCCTGCTAATGGCCTGGGAAAATCAGAAGAAGATGGCCCAAGCGTGTGCTCCTATGTGGGCGATTTTAAGATGCTCCTGGCTCAGCCCTGGCAATTACAGCCATCTGGAGTATGGAAGACCTCCCTCTCCCTCTCCCTCTCCCCCTCCTCTCCCTCTCTCCTTCTCCCTCCCCTCCCTCTCCCTCTCCCTCCCCCCTCCCTCTCCCTTCCCCCTCCCTCCCCCTCCCTCTCCCTCCTCCCCCTTCCTTCCTTTTCTCTCACCCTCTCCCTCTTCCTCTCCCTCCCCCTCCCTCTCCCTCTCAACCTCTCCCTCTCTCCCTCTCCCTCTCCCTCTCAACCTCTCACTCTCTCACTCTCTCCCTCTACCTCTCCCTCTCAACCTCTCACTCTCTCCCTCTCTCCCTCTCCCTCTCTCCTCTCCTCTCCCTCTCCCTCTCCCTCTCCCTCTCCCTCTCCCTCTCCCTCTCTCTCTCTCCGTTCCTCTTTCTCCCTTTCTGTAACTCTGACTTTCAGATAAATAAGTAAATCTTAGAAACAAAAGAGCCTGAACGCAGAGGAACAAGCAGCCTGGACCTGGAGCGGGTGTAGGCTGAGGTTTGAGGAGTGCACTTGGGCTCCCTCCCTCCTTCCTTCTGTCCCGCCCTCCCTCTGCCATCTGCCACCACCTCTTCCTCCTCTTGCTGCTCCCACTTTGGGTGGCTGATACTTTCTTTCTATGCGAAGGCAGCACCTTCCTCCACACTTTGAACTATTGTCATATTCAGGAATCCCCTGAAACACGGGAAACTAAAAACAAGGGAGGTTTGTACCCTTAGCCCCCTGGTGGTTCCTGCTGTGCCCCGCTGGGCTTGGCAGGCCCTCAGAACATCAGTGGCTGGAGAGGCCGGGCACAGGAGACAGCTGCTGCTGCTCTTCCCAGACTCCAGGGACAGGTGAGAGCCGAGAAGGTGCTGAAGCCCCCAACACAGGGACACAGGCTCAGGGAAGGAGGGATGCTCGTGGCTGGCCTCCGGGAGCCGTGTACTCGCAGACACCTGCTGACAGGAGCTGCGCCGAGAGGAGCCAGCAAGGGGTGGTGATGGGGGCTGAGAGAGAGGAGCCCTTCGCTCCCCTCCCCCAGTGACCTGGCTCCCAGTCCTGAATGTCCCCTTCTGTGAAACTTGAGGCCTTAAAATGGAGACAGGGACCTGTTTGGCCCTGGAGTTCCAAGAGTCAGTTACTTAAGATGATTATGTGATGTTTAGGGATGTTGATAGTGTCGTGTCTTGGTATAAAAGTCCCTGTATTTTAGAAAAGTGCAGTGAGAACTCCTACAGGAAATTACATGACCTGGGCATCTCCTTAGAGAAACTAC